AGTTTATTGGCCTGAGAAAGTAGGTAGATTTCTGGGGGCGGAGAGGGGGGCGGATATTTCAGAACCATGACTGCAACAATAATCAAACAAAGAATTCCTACAGAAAATAAGTATAACAAATCTTCTTGTCAAACATAGAAAACTATCCTATTTTTAACTTCAGATACTTATGTTTGAATTATATTTACCTATTCCTAGTCTTTTGAGAGAACACACAGTTTCTGTAAATTACCATCATTATGTAGCAAGTCAGCCAATAATGTCATTACCCCTATGACAATGCCTGACACACAGGTACTCAATAACTACAAGAAAGAGAGAGCAGATATGAAAGAACGATCGACTCCAATATCTCTAGAAAACTCTGGAGTCTAAATGGCTTGTGCAAAATAATCCAGAGAAGATGGGAAGAGAGAGCAGAGCAGCTTAAGTACCAACACTGGCGGCAGACTGCCTGGCTTCACGTTCAGATCCCACGTCCTCTTGGCTCTCTAAACTTGGATGTGTTTCTAAGCATCTCATTACCTCGGTTTCTCCATGGGTATATGGGGCTAATAACCGTACCTCTTTGGAGGGGTTGTCATAAGAATTGAATAAATGTTTGCAAAGTACTTGGAATAATGCCTTGCACTTTGTATGGTTCGGGTTCTAGTCAGGAGTCAGTAACCAACCATGGAGTAATTTGAATGGGGAAGCTTATAAATTTATAAATTTATATGAGGAAGCTTTATCTATATATATAAATTGTTATATATATACATAAACTTTTATATAGGTGCAAACATATAAATTTGTATATATGTTTATATATATATATATGAAGTAATAATTAGTAATGGGATTAGCTACTAAAGAATACAGAAATAGCAGATACAGGGACAGTTGAGGCTGTACCTAGAGCTGAGACAGAATGCCCATGGAAGGAACAAATTTGAAAGAGCCTCCCCTGGCCCCACCCATGTACCCGAGGCTAAGATTCTAACCTTGTGGGAGAGGATGTGGCTGTGCCCCACTAGAGACCAAGAAGCTTCTGGTACACTGGGGAACCAGGGAGTTTCCCCCAGAGGAGCTAACTGACTAGCCAAGGCCGGGAATTCAGCTGAGGCACCAGCAAAACTCGCCAGGAAACTACCTGTAGGGGTGCTTTTGAATTATCTGGAAAGCCAGCTGGAGGACCCAAGGGACTGGAAGCTACTGCTGAAACTTGCTAGGGGCGAGGGCCTCTGGGGGTCCCATACCCCAACCAAGCACTGCAAGAGCGAGAACACAGAGACACGGACTGAACCAGGAAGAAGCCCCTTCTCTTCCTCCTGCAGTGTCCCTCCAGTGATAAAGCCAGCTGGCTATAGAGAAGTGCTTATAGGGTCCAGTTCCAGGATCACAAGCGGAGTGGAACCAAGAAGCAAAGAGATAACTAGCATTAGGAAGCACCAAGACTATTTGATAAATAAGAACTATAGAAGACTCTAAGTCCTATCTAGCTCTTCTCTGGGAATGCAGAGTGCCCCTATAAGACGCCTAACCTGGTGCTTAAGGGCCTGGGCTCGAGGAAGATGCATGCATGTGAATCTTGCCTTCTCCTTGTACTAGCTACTAAGCAGCTTACCAAGCACCTCTGTGCTTGTTTCCCCATCTTCAAATGAAGATGATGATAATACACCTACATAATAGAATTGATGTATTAAATAAAGGGCTTAGATGAGCACATCTTAGTTTTTATTAGGTATAAGCTTGGTCAGAAGAGCAAACGAAAAATGTTTCCAATGTTATACCGAAACCAGAAATGTAAGTGGGAGCTAATAGAATAGATTTTTTTATTGGCAGGCCTGAGACATCATTTCTTTGGTATCATCCTCCCCCTCAGTTCCCACGGCTCCACTCCTGCCTGTGATTGACAGCCCCAGTGTTCTCTTAGTCATCTACAGCCCCCAATTAGAAGAGGCAGTCATTTGCTCAAGTTAAATCAGCCAGTGGTTCTCAACTGAGGGTAACCGATTTGTGCCCACACCTCACTCCCAGGGGACACCTGGAAAAGTCTGGAGACATTTTGATTGTCACAAGTGGGGCAGGGAGTCCTGGCCAAGGACGCTGCTCAACATCCTACCACGCATAGTACAATCAATCACTCACAGTACAGAATAATCTGGTCCAAAATATCAGGAGTGTCACTGTTGAAAACCCAAATCTGGAGAGTACAAGGGATGTGGATAAAAGGAACAGAGACAGAGGATGAACAAGGACACATGGCCTTGTCCCTGCAGCTATGCTGGGTTCCCGATTGGTTCAGCCTGAGTTACCAAATCCAGACTGTCTGATCCACAGTTGGAGTCTAAATGTACAGTTTCCGACGTCCTTAGGTTATCTGTGTTGTCTACAGAGAAGTTGAGCTCCCACGTCTTCCAAACTGAGAAATTAGGGGATGAGTTCCTGAAAGGGCTGCTATCGAAACAGAATGTCCAAAATTTTAAGATATCTTGGCAGAAGGAAGCAATATTTGCCCTTTTCCAACATTAGCAAGTACAATTCTACCTTTTTCTTTCCATAATGTGCTCTCTGTTTAAAACAAATTTCTTTTCTAAGCTTCAGGCCCCCAAATTCATTCCTGTAGCGGAGCAAAATTTTGCTAAGGTAATGAGGGTATTAAGGTAAAAAAAAAAAAAAAGAGGACATGAAAAGTATGAGAAGCAACGTTATAAAATGAAAAGTTGCTAAACAGACAAGTAGGGCAGAATATGGACTGACAGTTACTGTAAAATTCTATTTGTCTTGGCCACAGCCTACATCAGGAACCATCTAGCTAGCAAATATGAAATGTGTATGGGCTGTCTGAGGCAACACGTGTGAACAAAGAAAAACCAGCTTTTCTGTAACAATGTAAACCATGTGTGTCTCATGGGGCTGACAGGACTACAAGTGGAAATGGCCCCTCTGAGGTTGCACCACCAACCAAATGCTCTGAATATGAAATTCTGAAAACAGCTGGAAACCAATTTTTTTTCTGTTAGCTATTCATGAAGTTTCCTTTTTTGGCTGTACTACATGCTTGAAATCCTGCATACTAACTGCAGACCTAAACAAAGAATCACTCATCCACTCTTCACTGACTAAAGAATCAGCAACTTGTTGACAGTTTTCAAGGGAGAGTTTTGGCATACAGGGAAAATGACAGTATTTTCCATAATTAGAAAGTTCCTAGTTAACTTAGAAATACACATATGTAAATCATTTGAAAATTCTTTTCATTTTCTATAGTTCTTTCATTTTCTCAAGTTCATACTTTTTCCATAATATCTGACCAACATCCTACCAAATGTAGATTAAAGCTATCCCAAGGATTTGCAGGTATAAGGCAATCCTTTATAAGGCAACTATACATTCATATGAATGTTTGCATTCTTCCCTTTACAGAACGATTTGTACATATTCAAAATGCTATTTAAATCAAAATTTTTCGATGAATAATTTCTCAGGAAAGGCCAAATATGACTGCATGTTAATACCTTTCTAAAAATCAAGCTATAGCTGGATAATAATTATACTGTATTTAACCACAGACTGGGAAATGAGTCAACAATTTTTCTCAACATTAGCACTTGCTCAAGAAGCAATAGGACTTAGTCTGTGAATGGAAAAAGAAATTGCATCAGCAATTCTAGCAGGAGCACTAAAGCAGAGGGGGAGAGGCCAGACTGCTTTTTCCTTTTCTCAGAAGTCAAGCAGTATCCACCAGCGACCTCTCTAGGCTCTTGTGATCCATGTCTCTGAATTACTTTACACAATTTGACAAGTTATGTAACTGTTACTGTCATTACTAATGGTAATTGCGGTCATAAGCAATAATCATAGTACTAAGGAACTTCCACTAGCACCTTCGGTCTGACAGTATAAACCCTGCAAGGACAGAAATTAGTTTCTGCACCTCTTGAAGACTGCTACATTTTTTAAAATAATTGGGGGGCAGAGAAGGGGGCTGCCCTAACTGTTCATAAATTTACTGAAGGCCTAGTACACCAGGCATTGCAGGTACACAGGCGATAGTCCCTGTCTAGGAGGAGACAGACATGTCATCCAATACTTTAATACTTTTCTGCTCAAAAACTTTAACCAAATTCACTTTTATATCTGGTTCCTCCCTCTAGCTTTTCCTTTGGTCAGTGATACTGTGTCATTCTGTGGAAAACAGATTATGGGGCGAAAATGTGGGGTGGGGGAGTCATTACTGTACAACCTTAACTTTGCTGAACCTCATTTTCTTGATCTTTAAGAAATTGGGAAAGACTATCTTCATCATGTTGTTGTCTGAAAGCAAAATGAACAGGATGAAATAAAATACATGAAAATATAAACTAATATAAGGCAATATTGAAACAAAAACTTATTTAAAAATATTAGCAAAGCAAATCCTTCAGTAGGTCCCCATTGCCAGTCTCAGGCTCACCAGGATATAACTAACCAGTTTTAATGAGGGTAAACCAGTTTTCAAAAATTACCTGAAAGGGCACAGTCAATTATCTTTTTCTGTATGAACAATATCTAATATCCTACTCACCACTGAGAATGTCTATTGTCCTCAGATCCAACTACATAAACCTACTTCTCCAAAGTAATGAGACTGAATCATTATTTATAAAACATGCTTTCCTTTTTTTAATTTTTATTTTTTCCAGGAAGAGTAATGGGTTATGAGTTACCAACTCTTTCACGTTTATAGGGTCTAGTGTTAGAAAAAAAATATGTTTTCATGTGAAATTAAACTAACCTCCAGGGAACCATGCCCAAATAAAGTAAGGTTCAAGTTACTCCAGCATTCTGAATTTGACTTTGACTCATTGATACCTATAAGGGACGTTTTGTCCCCTCCCACCTCAGCTGTGCCACAGCCCCATAGTTATTCCAAAAACTCTCTCCTTGTAAAGGCTATGCGCACTAAAGAGATGATCTCTTAAACTCCCCAAAGAAGTGCAGGCTGTTGACTGAATCACCCATGATAAATCAAGGTGTTTCTTTTCCAGATAAATGTTTATTATGTATAAAATACACATTATTAATTTATAAAATTTTCTTATTGAATCAATTCAAAATATCCTAGATCAAGCAATACTTAAATCCGAATTGGAAGTTCTCAAAATTCACTATGGTCTTTGATTTTCAAAATGCCTGAATTCTCTATAATAGTATTTTTCAAATGTAACTGAATATTTTATATATTCCACAGGGGAACGTCATTCATGACTCTTCAGTTAAACTTTCTTTTTTTCTGGCCAAATAAGCCACCTATTCTGAAAGGCTGCTGGTATTTGGATATCTACCCAAAATTGGTTTAATTATTTCATACATGTCCTCTACAGGAAAGCAATTTTGTAAGCAGAAATAGATAATGTATGTAAATTGACAAGTTTTCAAACTATTGAAGAGCTCTAAGGCTTAAGAATAAGTACAGTAACAGAAAATGTCACTTTTTATGGAAAAGTTTTACTTTATTTTGTAAAAAGTAATGTTTTGAATATATTTACTTTACTCTTTCGAAGCAATGAAAGTACAATGATAAGCACTGAGTAAAAAAGTACCCTGCTTTATGAACTTATTTTTAACACACTGAAGGCATATTTGCTCACTGAAGGCAGAAAAATGTAATCCAATTATAAAACATAACATGTATGAGTAAACACACACAACTCAATAGTTGTGAAAAAATAGAGGATTAATCAAAATATTCTTTTTAAAAATAGTAAATTCAAGTTATGTGGAAATTTTATGTATAAAAAAATCATACTGTGTAATCAGAATAACTCTTTAATGGTCATTTCTGAAAAACAAAATTTAACTTTCAACTCTTCTTTTTCAAAGTACTTTCAAAACTTCACTATTCAAATTAAAATAAACTATTTTAACAATTTATTCCAAAGACATGTTATATAGCTTTTATCCCAAGAAATCGTCTTGTGATATATAAATAAATCTGTTAATATAAGGAGTAAGAAAAGCCAATCTAGGAAAGAAAATAGTTCGATTAAGTGAGAGTCAAAGAGTGATCTCAAATTATCCTTATTTTCCTCCCTATCATTTCTTTTCATGTTGCCTTTAGAGACTGAGAGAAATCTGAAGGGAGTTTGCCTTGATCTACGTTTTCTCTCAAATCCCTCTTGGCTCTGGTGTAGCACAGGAAAGCACTGATATCACCCTCCGTATTTCACCAGACAGGAATATCTAAGCCGGAACTCACTCCTATCCCTGGGCTTCAATGAGTAGTATTAGAAAAGTGTCTAGAGTCTAATTATTTCAGCAACAAAGTAAACTTCTCTAGTGACGATTCTGCTGTACTGTTTTGTTGCCTTAATACCAATTAACTACTTGAAAAAAAAAAAACCTATTAAAAATCTGAAATTCAAACTGTCCATGACAAATTATCATTTAAAAGTTGGGAAAATGAGATGTAAATATAGCCCTAACCACCTAAAGTCTCCCCTCCTCCATTCCTACTTCACACAATCTATTTTTCCCGTAATTATCCTGAATAGAAATATTAAGATTTCACCTCAACTGCATCAACAAACAGTGTCACTTATTCGTATCAAACGGACTGGAAGCTCTGTGAGGCAAACGGGACATCAAAGGACACCGTTTCCATCAATCGGTCTTGCCCTGCTCATGTTCGGTCCGCCCGTTTTCGGGGCTGGGCGGATTTGGGGCCCCCGCGGGCCTCGCTGCTGTGCAGGCAGGCGGGGAAGGGCCAGTGGCGCACAGTGGAGTCCGCTTCAGTTTTATTACTCGGTGCGGCGTGGCCTTCTTGTCGGAGAGCAGAACCTTAGCCGGAAGTGGGTGTGTGGCTCCGTTTTCAGCGCTCCCGGTACCCCGGGAAGCCAGGGAATGCCCGGGTACCCCAGTGCCCAAGGGGGATGGGGCTTTTGACCCAGCAGAGCGCTGAGCTGTCATTCCACCTGGAGACTGGTTTGCCATTGCCGGGGACCAGGCCTGGAGGGCACTAGCTGGAGACACCCTGATTGAAGCCGAGTTCTTGACTTTAATTTGGGTGCTAGTGGAAGGGCCCAAAAATCTGACGGGCTTAGGACCGGTCTTACAGTTCACACCTTCTTCCTCTTCAGTGAACGCTATCAGTCGCCTATAAATACAGAAGAATGTGACTGTCAGCAGTTACACGCTCAACAATTAATGAAAAGTCTCCAAAGTTTACCTTCAAAGTGAACAAAAAGTTTTTCATCAAGAATTTGAGTCAAGAGGTTTATAAGTATCAACATACCTCACCTCTCATCTCTCTCCATGGTCAAAAAGTAAATTAGCAAATTTATAAAAGATTGTTTCAACTTGAATACAAACTCTTTAAAATCACACATAATACCAACAAGTTAAAATTTGTAGATGAGATGTTATATGAGAATTACACAACATATCACTCTATTCCCAAGAATCCCGATGTGATCCACAGTGTGTGATAAATGTTTAGTTAAGATGAAAAAGGAATTAAATTTGTGGTTGGAAGACATGAACAGAAAACATGTTCTAACTGATGGCAACACGTCATGCCAGAAAGCATTGAGCCTATATGAAGACTTCAGCAAAGATCCCCTGAAACGAGTGACACCAAGCCATTTACTACAAGTAACAGATGGTTACACAAATTCAGGAATAGGTTTGCACTGAAAAATATAAAAATTACTATAGAAGCTGCATCTGCCAACGAAGAACTTGCTGCCACATTTCCAGCAGAGTTGAAAAAGTTGATTAAGGAAAAAGGATACTATCTAAAACAAATCTTCCATTACGATGAAACTGTATATATAGGGTTCAGTACTATCTGCAGTTTCAGGCATCCACTAGGTGTCTTGAAACGTGTCCTCCACAGATAAGGAGGGTCTGTTGTATAATACATTCAACGCTAAAACTCTATTGAACATAACTAAATTTCCTCTGGTGAGTCAGACAGTTTTGAGACCTCACAAGTGCTTCTAATTCATTGTTATCATTATCCTGTCAATGCATCAAAAATGATGTTTAATAAAATCCCAGAGGAAAGACAATAAACACAGAGAAGAGTCTCCA